TTCATCATACCATGCAGGCACCAGATTTTCACAGGGCAGGCCAAGCAAAGGAACTGCAATTCTGATGCAGATTGCCAGGCCAGTCAAGCAATGGAACTGGAAGTGGCGAGGCTGGCCAAGCAAGCTGCAGTGGAATTTTCTGCAGCCTGGGGACCTCTGTATTAATATAATGTTTTATATTTTAGAAGTAATTTCATATCCATGGTCTCATTTGCACATATCTCTATTTTATAGATGAGTAAACAGAAAATTTGAATGACTGGCTCCAAATAAAACACCAACCTAGAAGCAGAGCAAGACCACCACCCATCCAAATCTCCTGATGACAAATTGAATACCATTTTAGTTTTCACTCTTTATGTGGATCCTGACATTTTCTAGACATTCATGTTTTATTTTTGCAGCCAAGAATGCTACTTCAGGGGAAATACACAGACTAAGTGGATCTGGACTCAAAGCCTAGTCTCACTACCTCCTAGGCATGACCTCAGGCGGTGGGTGTAGTGGTTGATGCCAGCACTAGATCACTGGGATTTAAAATGCTGGCTCTTTCAATTGCTTACTGTATGACCTTGGGCAAGTGCTTCTGTTTCATAGTCTGTAAAATAGGGATACTAACGGGACTTACTTTATAGAGTTGCTGTAGGATTAAGTGAATTACTGTTTGTAAAGCACTTAGAATCATGCCTGCATACAAGATAAGTGTGATGTAAATTATTGTTAAACAAAAATTCAGGTTTAGTCCCATTATTTTATACCTAAAGTTGTTTTTTAAATCACAGATTGTGATTGTCCATATTTAATTTTCAGTAAATGTCTTTTACTGGATACCAGTTGTGTATAAAGTTATAGAAGAGAAATAGTGTAATCCATAGACTTCTTTCTGTCTTTAAATGTTTTACAATCTATATATACAGAGGAAACCCTGGTGGCATAGTGGTTAAGAGCTGCAGCTGCTAACCAAAATGTCGGCAGTTTGAATCCATCAGGCTCTCCTTGGCAACCCTACAGAGAGAACAAAAGAGCCCCAGAACTAGACTTGAGGAAAAAGACAACTTAGAGCATAAACTTATCTGGCTGTAAGAAACTATAGCGTATTGCTAACAAAACCCACAAAATCCACACATTCCGGCGCACATTCCTTATTGTTATTGTAGTAGGTCTGAGGATGGAGACCAAGACACACTCTACAGCTGCCAGGTTTCCGAAGCACAATTCTTGTTACAAAGATTCGTATGTTCCATCCAATAACTTCCTTAAACCCTGCATCATAAAACTTCAGCAGGCTTGTGAGGACCTGGGAGATCGTGGGGAGAGAGCAAGCACATTCTCCTTCTATAGCAGGGAAACTCAGAGCCATGGACTGATCATCAACCCGCTGTTGCCAGGGTCTTCTGCCCAACATGGGCAGCCCCTATGAGGCTCTTGCCTTCTACTGACCAAGAATGACCAGGAGAGGCTCAAGTTTTCTGCATGAACAAAGCTTTATTGAGCAGAAGTAGCTCGCGAGAGGAGACAAAGAGGGACAATTCAACGCTAGCCTTTGTCTCCCCGAATAAAGGATTGGCTGGGGCTTATAAAGGTTTTTACACGGGAAAAGACATCATCTTTATTCATGAAAGAGGCAGGGTTATGAAGACTAGGTCCTCGCGCAAGAGGTAATTCAAGATGTAACCCGTAACAAAGGCTCCTGGGACTGGATGGCAGGACTTATTGTGGGGGGCCGTGCCTGCGCAGTTCCCGCGTGGTGCCGGCTCGATTCCTGTCGGGAGTCTGTCCGTCACCTTGCGGATGTCTGCACATGCTCCAGGGACAAGATCAGGCCAGTTCTTCTGAAAAGCATCTTATCGAGGAAGTACATTAAGAGTTGGGTGGGTTGTTCTTTCTTTATTGCATGTTGCAAGATAATGGGTTTTGTGTCATTAGTTAAGCCCATGTTTTTAGTTCAGGGTCCTTTGCCTAGGGGTTCAGTCCCTTTTTCCCTTCCCTATCTCACCACCCCGTTCCTTTCTGGGAAAACTTTTGGGGCTCCAAAATCTTGAAATAGGGCCAACAATCAAAGCTTTCACTTGATTTTGAAATAATATTGGAGTTATCATTCCCTCTCCTTGAGCATAGAGAATGTCACCCTGGAGCTAGGCTCACAAAGACTCACAAGGACACATCAACTGGGCCCTGAGGTATAAAGACAATAGCTAAGATAATCTTGGAAAATATCTTTTAGGGAAACTTTCACGTAAAGCCAATCAAACAGAACACAAAAGACTTTCCACTCGTGACTTTTTCTATTAGCATTTAGTGAATAGAAATTTGTTGAACCAATGAAGATCCTCCTGACTCTTCGTTACTGAAACCCGTACCAATGACTGTTAAGAAAGATGATTCAAAATGTAAGATCACAGTTTCTAGCCAATCTGTGAAAAGGTGAGGCTTCCAATGGTTTTGCCCATTTGTAATGTTAACATATACTGATGACTCTGTAATGGTCTTTGCACTCTGACAGACATGGCTGTGGTAGCATGCTTGTCAGTTTTCCCATTCTTGCCTATTCTGTAATATTCTTTGGACTTGGGCAGACATGGCTCTGGCAGCATGGTTGTCCATTTCCCACTTTTGTCCTTTTGAATATATGCCAAATAAAACTTTCTTTTTGCTTTACTAAACTTTGTGATGTTTTTCCCCTACAACACACTCGCCCAAAGTTTTTTGTCCCTATATTCAAAGTAAGAGAACCCAAAAACCCCCAGTTGCCCAACAGGTTAGTGCCAAGTTAATTAACAAGATATCCAGGGCATCAAACCACTGCTAGTTTTGATCTATAGGAAGTTGATACCCATCGCCATCGGGTAGATTCAGACTCATAGCGACTCTATAGAAAGAACATAATGAAACTGCCCCATAGGGTTTCCAAGGAGCATCTGGTAGATTTCAATTGCTGACCTTTTGGTTAGCAGCCACGCTCTTAACCACTACACCACCAGGGCTCCAAAAAGTTGATGTTGAAGGTTAATTTCCCTTTCTGTCTGTAACCATTTGTCTTAGTTACCTAGTGCTGCTGTAACACAAATACCACAAGTGGGTGACTTTAAAGAACAGAAATTTATTTTCTCTAAGTTCTGGAGGCTAAAAGTCCAAATCAGGGTCTTGGCCTTGTTGATTCCTTCTGTAAAGCCTCTCTCCTAGATTCTGGTGTCTGTTGTCAATCCTTGCTTCCTTTGTAGAGGATACTCACATGGCCTCTGTATTTCCCCGTGTGTGTGTGCACATCCCTGTGCCTATGCTGCTCTTAATGTAACTCAGAAGCAATTAGATTTTTGATCTACCCTATACTGGTGTAACCTCAACCAATTGATTACATTTGCATAAGATTACGTTGTGGAATGTGATTACATTGCATTAGATCAGATTACATTCACAGATACAGGGGTTAGGATTGCCACACATATTTTGGGGGAACACAATTCAATCCATAACAGCACTTGTAATTAATATCATCTATTTTAGGGATTGCTGGCAAGGATATATGCCTATGGTTAAAAATGGTTTGCACAAAGCTAGCTGGCACATTTAGGGACTGAATGTGGATTGTGGCCTAAATATCTCCATGCTATATCAATTGAACTAACTGTATAAGATGACCTTAAATAGAGAATAGCAGGTCAGTGACACTCTGGTCTCACATAACTTAGGTACTGCAGTGTACTACAAAAAGCTTGAAGCAAATCTTGAAAACCAGGGAAGCCAAACTAATAGTTATTGCTATTATGAAATTGAATATACTATGACATTACCCAAGAAAATTCTTAAACACTGTAATTGTCATAATCCCACATTTCTGAGACAGCTTAATCTATAGATATTGAAAAGAGACTTTAACAATGTCTTATACTTGTAGTGTCTCGGGTATTATAAGCTTGCGAACAGCCATCTAAGATACACTTATCTGTCTCTTCTCATCTGGAGCAAAAGAGAAGAAAGGAAACCAAAGACTCAGTAGAAGAAATTAGTCTACAGGACTGATAGTTTACACGAACCACAGCCTCATCTACCCTGAGACCAGAAGAACTAGATGGTGCCTGCTACCACTAATGACCATTCTGATCAGGGCCACAATAGATGGATCCTGATAAAGGGGAGAAAAATGTGGAACAGAACTCTAATTCTTAAAAAGTCCAGATTTACTGGACTAGTGGGGACTAGAAGATTCTCTGAGACTATTGCCCTAAGATACTTCATAAACCTTGAACCAAATTACACTCTGAGGTCACCTTTTAGCTAAATAACAGATTGGCACATAAAATGATAAGAATATTACCACTAAGTATTATGCATCTTTAAAAAATCATCTATATGAGATCAAATGGTCAACAATTACTCTAAAGCAAAGATGAAACGGTAAGGGGACAGGGAAACCAGATTACTGGAAACTAAACATCCAAAATGGAATGCTGATACATTGTGAAAAATGTAACCGATGTCACTAAACAATTTTTGTAGTAGTTGTTAAATGGGAACCTAATTTGCTGTGTAAACTTTCACCAAAAACACAATAAAATATTATAAAAAAAATCTTTACACTTAAGATATTAAAGTATAAATGTCTTTATATTCTAACATTGATGTGACAAGATGAGTGCTTTCTCATATTCATGTTAAATTTTGTTCACACCAGTTAAATAATTTAGGTTTTATCTAAATAAAGAGGAAGCTCTGTCCAAATGCGTATTTGCTAGAAGATTCTGTGACAGAAAACTCAGATCCATGGATACTGTTGGCATTTATAAACAGATATTCCTATAACCTCATAAATCAAAGGTTAAGAATCACATTTACAACATCACCTATTGCTTGCTTTCTTACAGCCCTGTTTAATATTTATCGATCTAACTAGAGTACAGCTTAGATGTCTATTACAGGGAATTTTTAATTAAAAAAAGCAGAGGGTATATCTCAAGTGGTATAATTGACACAGAGTCCATGTCTGCTTAAGGATCTGAAGTTTAAATTTCAACTTGTGAATTTAGGTTTTGTGTCCTTTCTGCAGAAGAATCCTCACTGAACATTGACTCAAACAGAGCAAGGATGGACTTCTTGAAAACCTTTTTGAAGTTCTCCCCAATAAATAGGTAGAGTGTGGGAGAAAAGACTGTATTAAAAGAAGTGGTTATCACTGTAAGTATCAGAGTCAACTGTAAAAATAGCGACTGGTTCTTAGTGAGAAGTAAGCCCTGAAATACATGGTAGGGCATCCAACACACAAAGAAGGAGATAATGGCAGTCATCATAACTTTGAAGGGCTTGCTGGATTTAACCAGGCCCCTCTCTTTTATCTTGTAGGCTACTCTCCCGTAACAAAAGATGATGACTGAGAAAGGCAGAAGGAAGCCCAACAAAAAGCGGCTGATGAAACAGGCTCCGTGAATCCATTTCCTCAATGCTTGCATCTCTTTGTTTTCCCAGTTAGTAGACGGAGCATAGTTATTTCCGCAGATCACTGTTCCTTTGTGGCTATCATGTGTCTCCCTGAAAACCAAAAAGGGAATGCTGAGGGCAGTGGCAGAGATCCAGACACCCAGGATGATGTTGGAAGCCCAGCGTGGGGTTCGGTGCTGCTGTGACCACACTGGGTGAAGAGTGAGGAGATAACGATCCAGACTGATGGCCGAGAGGAGGAAAACAGAGGCGTACATCCCCAGAGACAAAATGCAATTGAAGACCTTGCACATGGCAGTTCCAAAGTTCCAGTGATTGTCCTGAAGGTAGGAGGTGGCCATAAATGGCACAATCAATGTTGAAATAAAATATGAGAGAATGAGATGAAAAAATAAGAGTGTATTGACCGTCTTTTTCATTTTGAATTTTAGCACCCATAGATAGAGGCCATTCGTGATGGTACCAATTATAAACGACATGAACAAAGGAAGGGCAATGATCAGACGGGTTTTTGAAGCAGGAGCTGGAAAGTGAGTGCTGTTTCTTACTAAAGTAGAATCGGTAGAGTTGATCAGATCCATAACTTCCTGTGTGGTGAGAAACAATGAAAATAACAACAAAAAAGAAGCAAGAAAAAAGGTTAAATGTAGAGATTACCATAGTAATTTTTGCATAGTAGTAGTCAAAATCACAATATTTTAACAATGCCAAACATAATATTTCTACAATAACACAGATCAAATATTATTTTTCCTAAGGTCCATACTTTTATGTTGTGTAAGGAATTAAGATAAGATTAATTTGATCAATCAAAAATAGAAATAATATGGATAAAATTCAATAAATGTAAAAGAGAAATATAGTTTGGGGCATTTTGACAATTATTAAGTTACTAACTTATGTAGCTAAAAATATTCTGTTTAGACATTAATCAGAATTCTGACCCTTCTTGACAGCACAACTCCTTAACAATAAGGCAATGTAGAATCAGCTTTACTGCATTAAGACTTGTGTAACGTTGTAATTGTTGCTATTAATTTGAACAACAAAAATAACAGCAACTCTTGCAGATTAGTAATTGTGGGAAGTTATAATTAGATTTCTCATATCAGCTAACAATATATGGTAAATGCTATTATCTGGCATTCTAATACTCAGCACTTCACAGTACAAACTAATTTTCATAATGGAAGACCTAGGGCACTGTAAGATTGTCAAGTGTCTTCAGAATCGTCCATGCAAGAGAAAAGTATGTTGTAGATATAGTAGTCGTTCTTTCTTACTTGGGGAGGGGAGGAGTGGGAGAGAAGTCAAAGAACCCACATTTATCCAGTACTTGTTACATGTCAGGAGCTTTATATACAAACAATCTCTTATTTCTCACAAAGCCTATGAGGCAAATATTTAAACAGAGGAGAAAGTGAGGCTTAGAAGAGTTAAATTTCTTACGCATCAATATTCCCCACCATGCCTCCCTTGTGGCAGGTAGGGGATCCCACTATTGTTTTATGTTACTTTGCAAACTGATGGCTCATGAAGAATGTTTTTGATTATGCTCCATGAATCAGAATATTTGATTACCCAGAACATCCCATTTCTTGATTATATTGGGTAATGGTTCCTATAGTATTGAAAATATAAACCTGAGAATGTTTTGGAAAATAGCTATTATAAGAGATATTATAACAAAGTCATATCAACAAATTGGTTTTTGATAAATTGGGTACAGCAACGTAAATTTCTCATGATGCTGTTTTTCCTCACTAAGTAAAAACATTCTAAGAATATATTGTTGTTGTTGTTAGTTGCTGTCGAGTTGATTCTGATTCATGGCGACCCCATCCATGTGTGTCAGAGTAGAACAATGCTCCATAGGGTTTTTAAGGTTGTGACCTTTCAGAAGCAGATTACCAGGCCTGCCTTCCGAGGCACCTCTGGGTGGTTTCAAACCGCCAACCTTTCGGCTAGTAGTTGAGCCATTTAACCATTTTTGCCCCCCAAGGACTCCTAAGAATATATATATAGAGAAGAAATTAAATAATTGCTGTTTAAAGCCACACATGCCTTACATTAATTCTGCCTTCTAATGGAGCTGCAAAAATTTTCTCCTTCCAGGAAAATATTGGTAGTCTGCACTGGGATAACAAGTGAGGTCTGCAAGGTGTGGAATGGATAGGCAATGGCAAGTAAAATAGTAGGGACCTGAGAAAGAGGCTGTGCAAATGTCCTAGGACACAAGTAGAGGCAGGAGGACTGAGGATGGTCTTACTGGAGAGGACACAGGAAACACACAGCAGGAGATCAGGAGTCCTGAAGGAGATAAAGAATCAGAGATGTTTTGAGAAGCAAAAGGGGATTTAAAAATAGGAATGTCTAGGGAAGCCAACACAAGGCCAGCTTAAGGCAAGGTCATGGCAGCTCCATAGACACATTCAAACTCCCTGAGGGACTGAATTACTGGGCTGAGGGCTGTGGAGACCATGGTCTCAGGGAACATCTAGCTCAATTGGCATAACATTCAACTTTGGTGAGTAGTGTCTGGGGTCTTAAAAGCTTGTGAGCAGCCATCTAAGACACTCCACTGGTCTCACCCTGTAGGGAACAAGGGAGAATGAAGAAAATCAGACACAAGGGAAAGATTAGTCCAAAGGACTAATGGACTACAACTACCACAGCCTCCACCAGACTGAGTCCAGCACAACTAGATGATGCCCAGCTACCACCACCAACTGCTCTGAGAGGGATCACAATAGAGGGTCCCGGACCACCACCAACCGCTCTGACAGGGATCACAACAGAGGGTCCCGGACAGAGCTGGAGAAAAATGTGGAACAACATTCTAACTTACCAAAAAAAAAAAAAAAAAAAGACTAAACTTACTGGTCTGACAGAGACTGGAGAAACCCCAAGAGTATGGCCCCTGACACCCTTTAAGCTCAGTAATGAAGTCACTCCTGAGGTTCACCCTTCAGCCAAAGATTAGACAGGCCCATAAAACAAAATGAGACTAAATGGGCACACCAGCCCAGGGGCAAGACAAGAAGGCAGGAGGGGACAGGATAGATGGTAATGGGGAACCCAAGTTTGAGAAGAAGAGAGTGTTGACATGTTGTGGGGTTGGCAACCAATGTCACAAAACAATATGTGTATTAATTGTTTAATGAGAAGCTAGTTTGCTCTGTATATCTTCATCTGAAGTACAATTAAAAAAGACACACAAAAAAATAGAAATGTCTGATATTTGATATTAATTCATTTGCTCTGTTTTGATATGGCATACTGCCCCTTCTCATTAAACAACTGTTTTGTGTGGTGGTTGCTCAAAGGAAAAGGGCTTGTGTTCCCTGTTTAGGATGGAATGAGATGGAGAGAAGAGACCTGCAGCAGGAGGTGAGATGGGAATGAGATGATGAATGTGGGAGAAACTGGATACTGGAGCATGAGTAGAGAAGGAGAAACACAACCCCTGGAGAATTTCTGATACTGTGGGTGTATGGTCTGTGTGTGTGTGAGTGTATCTGTGGTGTATTTGTGTGTGTATCTGGGGCCTATGTGTGTATATCTTGTGTAGTATGTGTATGTGTGGTATTTGTGTGTCTGTGTTCTCTCACTGTGAATCTGTGATACATTTGTGCATACATGACTGTGGGTATATTGTCTCTGTGTGTCTCTCTGTGGTGTGTGTGTATATCTGTGGGGTGTTTGTGTGTATCTGTGGTGTATTCATGTATGTATCTCTGTATTTGTGTTATGGTCTCTTGTGTAAGGCATATGGTCCTGTATGTATGTGTCTGGGGTGTATGTGTGTTTATCTATGGAGTATATGTATGTGTGGTGTTTGTGTCTGTGGGGTGTGTGTGTGTGTGTGTGTGTGTGTGTGTGTGTGTGTGTGTGGCCTCTCTGTGTGTGTGCATATGAGAAACTGGGTACCTGAATTACATGAAAGTTTTTTTTTTTAAATTGTGTGTTTGAGCTCTAGAAGGGCATTGAAAATAATGTAAAATAAAACTTTTCCCATCAATATTGATAATGATTCTGAATATCATAAAGTTTCCTAGGAACTCTGATTTATTGCACATAACCAGGAGATTTCTTTATCCTTAAGAATCTTCTAAAATAGTTTTAAGGTACTTCACTATAAAGTAGGGGATCAGAGCTCAGTCTCTGGCATCCTACAGACCTAGGTTTGAATTCTACCGCTACCATTGACCAGCTCTGTGACCTTGGACACTTAACTCTTTGAACCTCTTTTACCTTCTAAACCCCAATGAGTTTTATGAAAATCAATTAAGATAATATATATAAATCACTTAGCTCCCTACATGGCATATAGCAAGTGCTCAATAAGTTTTTAAGTATTAGTTTGCTCCACTTGTTACAATGTTTTAAGGCCATGAAGAGTCTAATTTTGCCCTTTTAATGTTGCAGGCCATTTCTTGCCTCCCCAAAGTATCTCCACTGAATTCTAGAGTATCTTATACTCTCCAGGGATTTCTGAAAAATCTAAACATCCACCTATTGGAGCAGAAGCTCTCAGATTTAGAGTTGTTTTAAGGCTTTGCTATAGAAATATCTTTGGCACAAGCAGCTTTCAGGAAGACCCTACCTCTTTTGGGGACACCAAACTGGTGTGGGGGTCACAGAACCTTGGGAAGCTGATCTAGAGTAAACCTAGAGGGTCTATTTGGATGATAAACCTGCTGGCCCAGGGAATCTTACCTCAGAGCTATATCTTCATGCCATATGGTTCTAGGCAGGCCAGAGTGACTCTGTATCAGCAATCTTCTCTCTAAGGACAGAGGCAAAATCAGTGACACTTTGCCTTCATTTCATCTGCCTTTCTTCTTGCAGATGGCTACTGCACAACCTTGAACCTACTATTTAAATATTCATTGAGGTCTTTTTCACTCTTTCCCAGTTCCTGTTTTTGTGGAATGCACTGCTATAGAGGTGGAAGTAGAGAGATGAATACTTCAAATCATTTCTCCATTTTAAGGGTGGATTTTAAAAACCCCATAAACAAAATCATTCTATTTAAGGTTAATAAGGTCCTTTCAGGTGCTAAGACACTGATTTAAAAATACCTTCTTATATTTGGTCATCCCACCAGCTACCCACTCTGCCTAAATCCTAGGATGTCCATTAGCTTACAGACAGATGTTGTTGGGTACAGAAGGAGGTGATACATATCAGGCATGGAAAAAATAGAATCTAGAAATGAACTACCTAATCTTGCTGGAGAAAAACATTGTCAGAAAGAAAAACTTAAACACTGAGGTTCAAATTAAAATGGAATGAGGACAGGCCAAAGATTAATATTACTTAGTTCAGGAAGATGAAGACTGATAGGCGGAATGATCTGTATTTGTGAAATTGCAGACAACAGTTGGAAAGAACATAGAGTTTGTTATCATATCCTAGAAGATGATCTCATAAGAAAATCCTACAACACAGGCAATATGTACATAAGCCATTACTGACTGAGTCCTACATTTTTTATTTTTTCTCTCTCCAATTCATCTCTGAAATTTTTTAGGGTCAGCTTCTGTGCTGACTTCAGTGTCCTGATTTTCTTCTTACCTGCTTCCCTCTTCATCACTTTGCTGCCAGCGGAGACAATACATCAAAACCGCGATGTGGTCCCTGTGGTGAAGAGCTCAGGAATCAAAAGCATTATTCAGTCTGTGTTAGACTTACAGTTTTAAAGCTTTCACTTCTAGATGGTAACCTTATTAAAAATAGGTTTAAATTTTAGGTCACAATTCGTTAGTGTCTGTGCCCTTCAACCTGAGAACTGATTTTTTCTGCTTCAGGGTAAGAATGAGTTTTAAAACTTGCTACTGCATTTTAAAAGGGATTTCTTGCCAGGTTTTCATACCCTTTGGGTTAATTTAGGAAGCCTCCTGAGATATTTTTTGGTCCAAACCCACTAATTTTGGAGATTAGCAAACTGAAACATAGAGAGTTTAAATGAATAATAATAGTTTTTCACTAAGAAAAGTGCTATCATGGATTGAATTGTGTCCCCCAAAAATATCTGTCAACTTGTCTAGGCCATGATTCCCAGTATTGTGTGATTATCCACCATTTTGTCATCTGATATGATTTTCGTATGTGTCATAAATCCTATCTCTATGATGTTAATAAGATAGGATTAGTGGCAATTATGTTAATGAGGCAGGACTCAAACTACAAGATTAGATTGCGTCTTAAACAAATCTCTTTTGAGATACAAAAGAAGTGAGCAGAGAGACATGGGGACCTCATACCACCAGGAAAGTAGAGCCAGGAGTATGCATCCTTTGGTTGTGTCTTCATGATGGATCGTCCCCTTAAGCATTATATAGTGTCCTTTTTTGTCTTTTATGGTGGATTTTGTTTTAAAGTCAATTTTATTTGAGAATAGTATTGCAACTCCTGCTCTTTTTTTGGTAGCTATATATTTTCCCATCCTTTGATTTTTAATACATTTATGTCTTTGTTTCTAAGGTGTGTCTCTTGTAGACAGCATATTGATGGTCCTGTTTTTTTATCCATTCTGTCACTCTCTGTCTCTTTATGGGTGCATTTAGGCTGTTTACATTCAGTGTAATTATTGCTAGGTGTGAGTTTACTGCTGTCATTTTGTAGTGCTTTTTTTCGTGGTGCTGACGTTCTCTTTGTTCCTCTTACTCTCCTGTGCTGAGTTCCTTTTGTTTGTGGATTTTTTTTTCATTTCTTTTGTTTTTCTAGGTTTTGTTTTTGCTAAGACTTTATGTTTTTCTTCTTTATTTTGATGAGTAGGTTGGTTAACTTTCTTTGTGGTTACTTGAAATTTACCCTTATGTTCCTAGGTTTGAACCAGTCTATTATTACTTGGTATCGCTTGACTTCCTCTCCACTAGAAGGTTCTATACCTACACCATTTATTTCCTCTTTTATTGTTCTAATTTTGTTGTCCTTTACAGATTAACCTCTCTGGTTCCCTGTTGTAATTCTTTTGGTTTTGGATAGTCCTTGAGGGTTCATTTCCTAGGTTGGTATCTGGCTGGTATGATCCTGCGTCCTAGATTCAGCCTGTGGTCTGATGTTTGTTCTCAGATCAAAGGGCTCCCTTTAATAATTCTTGTAAGTTTGGTTTTTACATAGCCCCTTAATTTTGGTTTATTTGGAAGTGTCCTAATATCACCATCATATTTGAATGAGAGTTTTGCAGGATATATTATTCTTGGCTGACAATTTTTTTCTTTCAAGGTATTATATGTGTCATCCCATTGAGCATGCATCCTTTGGACCCAGAGTCCCTGTGCTGAGAAACTCCTAGATCAGGGGAAGATTGATGACAAGGACTCACCCCAGAGCCAACACAGAGAGAAAGCCTTCCTCTGGAGCTGATGCCCTGAATTTGGACTTCTAACCTCCTAGACTGTGAAAGAATAAGCTTCTGTTCATTGAAGCCATCCACTTGTGATATTTCTGTTACAGCAGCACTAGATAACTAAGACAAGAGGCAAGGACTTCTTCCACTGACCCACGCTATCTCATAAATACAAAAGGGGATTTGAACCAGGTTCTTCCTCCTCTTTCCCCACTCTATATTTTCTGATACTAAAATTAGTAGAATTCATAAATAAATTATTAGGGACTAGTACTTATTGTCTTTCCTTAAAACATGCACAGGGGCTAGTACTACCATTAAAAAAACCCAACCCAGTTGCCATTGAGTCAATTCTGACACATGGTGACCCCATGTGTTGCAGACTAGAACCGCACTTCATAGGGTTTTCAAGGCTATGACTTTTGGAAACAGATAAACAGGACTTTCTTCCGAGGCACCTCTGAGTAGGCACAAACTGCCAACCTTTTGTTTAGTAGCCGAGTGCTTTACCCAGGGACTCCTAGTACCACCATTACATAACCTAAAATGCAATTCTTCCACAACTCTTCTCAGAAATAACTTCTCTTCTGTGGCTTTGGTGATGTGGCTCCATTCAGTTCACTTTTCATATTTCAAATGAAGTCAGATGGTTTCAAGAAAAGAATTCATGGAAGTTGAAACTGTTTTATGTTGTTTTGATGCAACCACAGTATGAAATGTAGAAATGCAGAAGCAGATGGTGTTGCTGAATCAAATGATTGAAAGGCTAGAACTCATAGACATATAATTTTTAGAGCTGGAGGAGACCAAGGAGGCAATTTCATGTAACCCTCAATTCTATGGATGAAGAGACTGAGACCCATAAGAGATACCTAAAGATTTGTCCAAGATTTCATTATTATTTAATAAAAGATTTGGAGTGAAAATAAAACAAACCAAAAATACAAATGCACTGCTTGTGAGCACTATATTAATGGATTGTGCAAGACACTACAGGATAGAGAAAAAAAACCTGGATATAAATCCTAACTCTGCTACTTACCGTATTATGACTTCTCTGAGTCTCAGTTTCCTCATTTGTAAGTTTTTGAAAAAAGCATCTCTCTCGAAGTATTCTTGTGAGGATGAAATGAAATCCTATAGTTAAGGGCTTAGCACAGTGCAGGGCACATGGTAAATATCAAATAAATGATAGGTATTACTAATATTACATAAGCTGTAGACGAGAACACCAGCAAGCCCAGTGGGCTGGAGCAAATCTCTGAGCAATGCAATTCTAAAAACATGTATCGAGTGTCTAATGTGTGCCACACAGTGTTTGACACTGGAGAAAGCAAAGTAAATAATCCAAAATAATTGTTGTTAGTGTTTATACTTATTAAAGAAGATGATACCTGAACTGAATAGCTTAGGAATGTTGGGAAGAGCATATTCTAGGCCTTAGAAGCATTATGCTTAAAGCCCTGTCAGAAAACAGCAATGCCTCATTGGTCTGGCCTATTTCTGCACTTCTCAGGATCACTTCTTACCACCCTCACCCACAGCATAGTGGGAACAACAAGTCCAGTGGTTTTCACTCTGGCTTAGGTCAGAATCATGTGGAGATCTTTTTTTTTTTTTTTAAAAAAAGCAGTGTGTTCCTGAATTTCAATTTATTCATCCAATATTTACTGAGTGCTTACTATATTGGAAGCACTGTTCTGGCCACTGGGGATACAGAGTAAACAAGAGGAGCTTACGTTCTAGTGGAGTGAGATGGGCAGTAAACCAGTAAGTGAATATATAAACAAGAGAAATAGCAGCTAGCAGTACAGTGCTATGCAGAGTATTAAAATCCAGAAATGTGATGAGCGACTAAGTGGCTACTCTAGATGGGGTGGCTGGGAAAGGCCTCTCAGTAGGTGGTATTTAATGGGTTCAGAATGACAGGAGGAGGCAGTCGGTGATCAGAAGGAAGAACATTGCCCTGGACCTAACTTACATCTTGCTCCATGTCTGTTTCCTCCATATCGGCTGCTTTTGATTTCCTGTCTGCTCTTGCCCTCTTAATTGGGCTGCCATTTATTGGAATCTTTGGCTCATGACTTTTCAACTTTATCCCCAGGTTTATGGCTTAGGTTCTTCTCCTTGGCGGGGTCCTTGTTATGACAGCATTCCTAGAAACAAGAATTCAGCTGTGTTCAGGAGACTGTCTCCTGGGATCTGCTTCTAGCAGGTGGCCTTATTAGTGTGATCCACCACTTCGGGCTCCATATCTGGACAGCATTCCTGAAACTGCAGACAGGATGTATCTAGAGGAGAGGCAGGAGGTGAGGCTGGGAAGTTGGCCTAGATCTTGGCTGTGAAAGGCCTTTAATCCAGGTTCAGTCTCAGGGAAGACCGGGCTGGGCTATGCAGCACAGACGGAGACATGGGCTTTGTACAGGAGTGAAAGAGTTAAGGCTTTGGATAGTTCGTTTCTCTGCAAATTCAGACTCAAGGTCATCTGCTCAGAGTCAACAGAGGAGGGATGTTGGAGCGGGGTGAAGGTTTGGAATTTCCGGTGAAAGCAATGAAACACATAAAAAGAGTATGGAGTGGTGTTA